AATCCGTGAATCCGTGAAGTGCTTCCTATAACCTCTCGACTGAGCAGTGCTACACCCTTTTTTCACTTGTGCCTTTCAGGTGAACGACAGCCACTGACCGACAAGAACAAAACCGACCCGGGAAACTTTGGCAAAAGCCTCGATCCTGTGTATCAATCCGTGAATCCGTGAATCCGTGAAGTGCTTCCTATAACCTCTCGACTGAGCAGTGCTACACCCTTTTTTCACTTGTGCCTTTCAGGTGAACGACAGCCACTGACCGACAAGAACAAAACCGACCCGGGAAACTTGGGCAAAAGCCTCGATCCTGTGTATCAATCCGTGAATCCGTGAGTAACTTCAGCGTCGTTGGGCAATTTAAAATAACAACTTGAAGATTTCACTGATTTACGGCGCCGTTTTTTTTGGAGGGAGCCTCACTCAGCCAATCACAACATACTTGTTGCGACAGGTCGTGTCAGCTCTTCCTCTCGATGCAAAATATTATCTGACGCCGTCGGCAATAGATGACTTTGCTGCTAATAATTATTAACTGGATGCATCCAGAGCGATGCCAAGCAGTGCCTTTGGAAAACTCGGTCTACGCGTATTAGTCATATACATGCCATGACGACATTCGCGCATTTTAGATATCTGACGTGCTACCGTGAGTACAGTTAGACTTCTGGGGACATCACGTTCTTCCAAATTCCATGAGTGATCGGAATATAGTGAATGAGTCCATGATGATGATTACGCTGAATAACGATTATCGAGCTGCGAGGACAAATGCTTTCACATATATCTATTTGGAAGAGGATGCCCTACACAAATTCCTTATGCATATTTCGCCTCAACGTGTGTACTGTGGGATAATGCTAATTCCGCAAGTTGTTACTGCCACAGAACCATCTAAAAATGCATCCACTTTAAGCGGACCACTTCTTCCGGTAAATTGAGATATTCTTATGGGTCACAGTTTTTCTAATGCCCGCTTAATAGGGTGAGGTTTGTCTGTATTGCCGCTTGATTGCCTAATGCGCCTAGTTAAACCAAAAGGGCAACAGAGTGCGAATTAGCTGATCCATTGAACACTGACGCGTACAGACGTGTCATGTGCAGCCGAGAACCGGCTGTTTATGAGGCTCACGTGGGAAGTTCTAGGCAGGCAGAAAAGTGATGCCAAAAACAGAACTCACCTGTCGAGTACAAGTGGAGAATAACCAATAAAATCTGCCTCCATAAAAAGTCAATCTATTGGCAGTCGTGTGGTCAAGCTACGTTCGGAGCTGGTTCCCCTAGTACCAGACGGCTTCCCAATTTTTTTTATCGCCTTTGAAGTAACATTCACCTAAACAAGTTACCTTCACAAAGGACCCGCAAAAAAATGCAACACGCTCTGACATTGAAATCTGTAAAAAGAAATGGATTAAAGTTGAGGATGAACGAGATATTCCATGCGACAGGCCTTGTGAAACATTTCAAAATGCTTATTCATCGACAAGGCCCAATTGAGCGGGGAAAATCCGATGAAGCTGAACATGCGCGGCTGGTGAGGAAGCACAGCAAATAAACAATTAATTAGAACAAATGTTGAGCAAGTTTCTACGGATGTTATTTGTAACGCCCGACTTTAAGATTTTAGCTTCACCCACCGTTAAAAGGACTCAACACTGTGCTTGCGGTTTTACTTGTGTTAATGGGGAAGCGCCAGCTGGAGGAGGAATAACCATGAGGAGAAGGTTTGTGATTTGGGGACAAGCGATAGGATGGAATCACCCCGCTTGTCAGTAAAACAAGAGAAAAAGACTCAAATATTTGTATTCGTCACTTCGCAAAATTAGTTCAATTTTGGTTGTGCGTCATCGCTCCCTGAAACAAGCCTCGAACCGCTGTAAAGAACCAATGATGAAGCAAATGTACTGCATGAATGTTGCAGGCTAGCCTGACATCCGGTTTATGCTGGCAGTAGGGCGTTTTAGTACAGCTATCAGTTGGAGGGCGTTCGAGGAAATTAGACTTAGTTACACAGAACTCGCCTGTACGTGGTAAACAGTACATTTACGCAGGTTTGTATGATGTAACAGCAATTCTGTTCCAGATAGTTTTGAATTCGAGGCGTCCGGTGTGAGCTTAAAGCCACCATATCCTCTAGGATGTGGGTACAACTTCAATGGTGTGTATCCGAACAAGAACAGTTTGTGTTACTCAAGCTCCCGGCTGGTTTAAAGTTTTCATGTGAATGGCGGACAGACTAATCACTGAGTTTGCCCCTGTTATCCAAGAGAATGAAGCAGGCAATAAATGCGTTGCGATCTACTTTTACGCTAAAAAATCCGTCCACACTGACGCTAGATCTCTCCGAGGTACGTTTAGCCTGTATATAGACTTGCTCCTGAGAAGATGAGGTCAAATATCTGAGAGGATGTGGGATGCATGATAGTGTCCAGAAAAAATGGACGGGGGCAAAAAGGTCACCGGAGGGGTGAGAAAGTGTTCTTTGTGCCTTACAATAAACATTCTTCAAGACTCAAGTTTGGAGGGTTGCGATCATATTTAACGCTCCAGTGGTCTTCCGAGTTCATAAGCCCATCTTCAATCCTGTTTGAGGAACTACATGGTTTATTTGGTCGCGTAAGCCGGACTGTTGGAAGAATTTAGAGCTGAATGGTTGTTATAAGTGCAATGATGCTAGTTAATGTTAATTGTTCGGCATATTGTGGTGCGTTTTACCTATGTTAGCTAGATTTGGGCCCATCATTACAGAAAAAGTACAAATTTTAAAGGTTTCTTACTCTAACAATATTCCAAAGAAGTTCTGAAACGCGTGAAAATTAGAGGTGACAGATTCAACACAGCTGAGGGAGGGGTCATTTTGCGTGATAACCTCTCAAAATGAAAGGTGATTTCTTGCGATTGGCTTCTTGTGTTTTGACTGTTCCATGCGGTCCCAAAACGTACGCTGTGGAAGACATCTAGCGAAAATAATCTTGCAGGCATAACAGCTGTCAGTTTGCAGCTGGAGATTGCGGTAGCAGTGCGGGAACACCTGATTTCCTTAAAACAGTGCCTCCAGTGAGTCTGCTTACTTCCAGGGTGAGCCACATTTATGAGACAAAACTTGTTTTCCTTAAATGCCTCCAGTGAGTCTGCTTACTTCCAGGGTGAGCCACATTTATGAGACAAAACTTGTCATGTGCTCCCAATTTGAATTAATTACTTTCCATCTCCACTTTTGCTGCCGCTAGCTATTTGCACAATGAGATTGATTTCTCGAAGTCTACGGCATTTTCAGACTTGCCACTTCATAGTGTAGAATGTCTATGTATAATGTATATGCTCCTGTATTATTGAAAATC